ACTTATTAAATGATAAGAAATTTAATTAATTATAACATTACCTTATAAACATTTCATTTAAACATTAATAACACTTACTTATAGTTAAATAATTACTCAATTAAATTATAATATTATATATTACATTATATATTATGATCACTTACTTAATTATAGCATTACATAGTTAAATGTTATATAATTACATAATTAGTATGAATTTATAACATTACATTATAAACATTAGTAATTTACTAATTTACTATAATTACATTACTTAATTAAACGATTAAAAATTAATTAATTATAACATTACCTTATATATTATAATATAATTACTTAATCAATATAACATTATTATAAACATTAGTATATTATCAAATGATTTAAAATTTAATTAATTATAATATTAATTGTAGATTTATAGTATGATTATTTAATTCATTATAACATTACATTACTATTATAGTATGATCCATATAATAATTAATATAACATTACATAATTATAATTACTTATTGATTATGAGTTATGATATTATATTTAAACATTAGTAATTACTAATTTACTATATAAATATTAGCAAATACTTAATTGAATGATAAGAAATTTAATTATAAACATTATCTTATAAACATTTCATATAAATATTAATTAAGCATTACATTTAGTTAAATAATTCTCAATAAATTATAATATTATAATATTACATTAATTATGATTACTTACTTAATTATAGCATATATAGTAAATGATTACATAATTACTTAATTAGTATTGAATTTATAACATTACATTATAAACATTAGTAATTTACTATACTATTACATTACTTAATTAACGATTAAAATTTAATTAATTATAACATTACTTTATATATTTGTAATATGATTACTAATCAATTATAATATTCTATAAACATTAGATATTAATTAAATGATTTAAAATTAATTAATTATATTTAAATTATAGATTTGTAGTATGATTACTTAATTCATATAACATTACATTATACTATTTATAGATGACATATAATATATAAACATTACATAATTAAATAATTACTTAATTGATTGAGTTATGATATTATATTTAAACATTAGTAATTACTAATTTACTACATAAACATAGCACAATACTATAAATGATAAGAAATTAATTAATTATAACATTACCTTATAAACATTAATTAAGCATATTATAGTTAAATAATACTCAATTAAATTATATATATTATATACAATATTATGATCACTTACTTAATATATCATTATATAGTTAAATGATTACATAATTACTTAATTAGTATGATTTATAACATTACATTATAACATTAGTAATCTACTATACTATTACATTACTTAATTAAACGATTAAAAATTATTAATTATAACATTACTTTATTATTTGTAATATGATTATTTAACAATTATAATATTCCATTATAAACATTGTATATTAATTAAATGATTTGAAATTAATATTAAATATTAATTATAGATTTGTAGTATGATTACTAATTCATTATAATATTACATTATACTATTATAGTATGATCATATAATTAATATAACATTACAAATAAATAATTACTTAATTGATTAGAGTTATGATATATATTTTAAACATTAGTAATTACTAATTTACTACATAAACATTAGCACAATACTAATTATATAAGAAATTTAATTAATTATAACATTACCTTATAAACATTAATTAAGCATTACATTAAGTTAAATAAACTCAATTAAATATATTATATTATATTACATTATATTATAATCACTTACTTAATATAACATTATATGTTAAATGATTGCATAATTACATAATTAGTTATGAATTTATAACAATTATAAACATTAGTAATTTACTATACTATACATTACTTAATTAAACGATTAAAAATTTAATTAATTATAACATTACTTTATATATTTGTAATATGATTACTTAATCAATTATAACATTCCATTAAACATTAGTATATTAATTAAATGATTTGAAATTTAATTAATTATAATATTAAATTATATATTTGTAGTATGATTACTTAATTCATTATAACATTACATTTCTATATAGTATGATCATATAATTATATAACATTACTAATTAAATTATTACTTAATTGATTATGACATTTATATTAAAACATAGTAATTATAATTGCACAATATTTAAGAATTATTATAATTTTATTAATTATAACATTATATATAAATTTATGGTATGATTATTTAATTAATTATAACATTCTATTATAAACAGTATATAATACTAATTAAATGATTAACAATTAATTAATTATATATTACATTATAATTAAATAATATATACTTAATAATTATAACCTTACAATTTACATTGTAATATGATCACTTAATTAATTATAACATTACAATTTACATTGTAGTTGATCATTATTTAATTATAACATTATTGTTTTCTAATATTAAATTTACTAAATTATATTGGTATATTATAAATACCCAATTAACCAATCATAACATTAAATTAAAAATTTATAAACATTAATAATTTTTAACTTATCAAATAGACCCCTGGCAATGGCAATGTTAGTAATTAGTATTAGAATTGTTGTTTGTTTAAATGATCTTGGTGAAGTTATTTTATGTGATTGTGATGAATAATTGTTGTGTTTGGGTTTTGATTGACGAATTTTATGTGAATTGTGATGAATTGATTGAATTCAAGCGTTGCTTAGAGATTACAGGTTATGAGTTACATTGGACACAAATGAATGAATAACGAAAATTTGTTAGGGGTGTATTTGTAAACTTATAAAGTGTTTTTGTTATTTTTTAAACTAATAGGGGGGTAATTGATTTTTTATAGGGTACCCTGGAAAGGAACCGAAACCTGCATTTTAGGTTCCGATTCCTTGAATTGAAGAACCTGTACTGTGCGGTTCCGGTTCCGGTTCTCCGGAAAAGTGCAGGGTACCCGGAACCGCTCACCCCTAGTTGGGGGTTGTGCGTTGTTTAGAATATTAAGGTGGGGTTGTATGTTGCTTTCTTCCTTACAAGTTATTTTCCTAGTAGAAAAAAAAAAAAGAGAAAAAAATGGAAAAAGAAAAAAAATTGATTAAAAAAAAGAAGGAAAGGAAAGTTAGGAAGAAGTGAACATTGAGAAACATTGCAGGAGTGTGAAAATATGCTAGGGTTTATGCTATTTTGGAATAAAAAGCTCGATAAAGTATGGGAAAAGTTGGGTGCAAAGGGAAGTGTGTTTGTAAAGGTTAAGTCTCGTAATTTTTGTGTAAATCATTTCCATTCTTTCATGACCCCATACCTTGGCCTAACGTTACAATCTTTATAAAGACCTATTGATCCGAGGTAGTGTGATAAGTCTACATTAGTGGAGAGTGGCTTGAAAAGTGAGCCTATGGAGTTTGATTCTACGATTTCCATGTGAGTCGTAATGCGAATACTAGAGATCAATTCTTTGTTTACGAATGTTGTGCATAAAATCATCCAGGTCTTTAGATTATTGGTTTGTGGTTTGATGGATGTTTGAGGTTCGATAATGAAAATGGAGTTGATGTTTGAATTATCTTGGTGCTGGGTTGATTCTTAATTATTATATTTCTTATGTGTGTATGAAATTTTTGAGACAATTATATGAATTGATCCAAGAACTATTGTTTTTGTTTGTTTTTAGTCTTGAGTCTCAGTTAGTGTTGACAAAATATTTATAGATGCTTCTGTTGAGATCTTACAGGCGCGTGGGAGACAAAATTGGTCTAAGAAATTGCAGCAGGTCACATGAGATAAGTGTGGAGTGATTGATTGGCTAGTTTGGAGTTTAAGCATGTTTGGATATGTTGTTTATAATGGAAAATTGATAAAAAGTTCTATTAATAGAATAGATCCATTCTTGTTAATTTTGATAAGATAAAAGTATCGTAGTTTGGTCAATAAATAGTAATAAAATGTCATAAAGAAAGACTTAACAATCTAAAATCAAAAGGAATTCGACCGTTGTATCTTATTATAGCTTGATGCAACCCCAAATGCAATCCCAATCGTCCCTTAAGCCCATTCCCTGTAAAATATATCCAAGATCTGGTCGAAATAGGTTCGATTTCGGCTAGATCTCACCGACGTCGGCGTCGGCATTCTAGGTCAGATCTCATCGACGCCAGCGTCGACAACCCTCTCCATCACCCAGAAATTACTCCTCTCTTCCTCTCGACCAAAACCCACATCACCCCAACCCTGTTAGTCTTGCCAATCGCGGCAAAAGCCAGTTGTTACCGCTGCCAGTTTTGTTCGATTTTCAGTCTATTTACTCACTGGAAATTAACTTCATCACCACTATTGCATCCACGACACTTTCTCTTCAAAAGTCCCAAAATCCTGGTCATCAATTGTTCGCCGATCATCCTCCCAAATCCTAGGGTTTTGGGTGAATAGGAAAAATATAAACCCGACCCGTTGAAGCTTCCGGGTCTTAGTTGAACCGATTAAATTGATCGGGCCGGGCTGGGTTTTAAAACATTGATAAAATGAACAAAATAGGCCCATTACAAGGACTAACCTATTTGGGTTGCCATAAGCCTTTTCCATTTTATAAAATGTACAAATATCCCGAGAAAGAGGATTGAGCCTTTAGCCTTTTGGTGATAGCCCATGAATTAACTTATGCCCATGAATTAACTTATCTTTGGGTAAGGATACATATAATTACTTGGTTCTTGCAAGTTTCTTTTTAGAGGGAAGAGGATTAGAACATTGACTACTCTGCATTGATGATCCGTGTGTTTATTTTGTTAGATTCTCTTGGAAAATTTTCATAATTCAACATAAACAGTAACTTTTTGCCGCACTGCTCAGCGCATCTTTCACCGTTGGATCATAAAGAAAGATTGACGGTCTAAAATCAAAAGGAATTCGACCGTTGTATCTTATTATAGCTTCCAAAAGAGACCCATTTCTCGCATTCTCCCTTCACCTCTTTCTCATTAATAGACAGTAACATTTTCAGAAGAAGAAGAAAATAAGACATGGCTTCAAGACCCATTGTTCCACAACAAGCCAGAGGTATATTTCGTATATCGATGATAAACATCTTTAATTTTCTTGATGATTTCTCTCTTCTTCTTCTGTTTTCTTTTTTTTTTTTTTAGTTCTTTTTTGTGTTTGGTTTTTCTAATTTTTATGACCCTTTTGATTTTGAGCCCTTTTTATGTTTAATTTGAATTTATTGAACTAAAAAATGTGGACTTATGTTGAATCTCTTGATTCTTGGTGACCCTTTTTTTTTTCTTCTGTCTTGATATTAATTCCTTGACCATTTGTTTGGTTGATGGGAAAATTTGATAAGAAGGACAAGAAATGGTTATTCATATTTTTCAGATTGTTCTGTTCTATTTGTGAGAAATCTTAAACAATTGGTTTTCTTTTTGTTCTCTCTTAATTTGTTTCTTCTCATCTGACTTATTTAACTCTTTTTTCTTGCATTCTTTAAAATTTGTATAAAAGTCGTCTCTTTTGATGATTATAGGTGAGGCAGTCGTAGGAGGAGGAGCGGTTAAGCAACAAAAGAAAGTCAGGGCGGCGGCTGATGGGAGTAACCACCATGCACTAGGTGTATTGGCAATCGCGTAACTGTTTGAGGAATCGATGGCAAGCCTCAACCTCAGATTACTCGGCCCATCACCAGGAGTTTTTGCCCTCAATTACTTGCCAATGCACCAACTGTGAGAATAACAAGGTTGGTCTTTTTTAACCCAAATGTTCAATCTTTCACTTCATTCTTTCTGCTCTTCTTTGCTAACAACTGGTTTTTTTTGTTCCTTTGAATCACAGAAACAAGTTTATGTTAATGTGGATAAGGCGCCTGTTCTTGTTGAGGGACTTCCGGTGGGTAAAAAACCAGTGGCCGCAAAGGCAGCTCAAAAGAAAGTCTTTGTTTTGCAATAGAGTGAATACTAGATGGAGATTGTGCTAGAGCTCACCTTTTTTCTGCTTTGAAATAGTTTCTTTTATTGTTTGGATACCTGAATTTTACAATGAAATGAATATCTGTATTTGATATTGAAGTTTGGGATTCCTCGGTGCACTCTTGCTAGCTTGCTAGTTTATAATGCGAAGGTCTTAAGAGATGTTCTGTCAGTGAAGAGAGGGCCAATTGCAGATGCATTTGTTAGTTTTCTCTGCTTGCTTTCAAGCCCAACTGAATGCTCCATATTTCTTGTTGTGTCCAGAATTAGTTATGGACATATGTACCATTGGGTCAACTCCAGTTATGGCCTCCAGACTGATCCATGGTATATAATGAAGGTAATATTATTTTCCAGTACCCTGGTATGCACTGTGAGTTAGCTCATTTTAAGGACTAAATATTAATCAGATAACAATTGGGCAGATCCTAAATGCTGCAGCTGCACTGTTGCTGAGCAGCCACGTGAACAGCATAGCTGAAAGAGTATCCTTGGCATGCAAAACACTATTATTAGCAAAAGCTCTCAAGACACTAGATTTGTGGATACAGATTTCCAAGGTTAGTACTCGTACAATCTAGATCTTAGTTGATTTTGCTTCAGTATTTTCCTGTGTGGACTTGATTGAAGCAGAACATGTAAGAAGATCTGGCAGATTAACACAAGATAATTGTTCTGATTAAGCGAAGGAATAAGTGATTAGAAAAGGAAAAGTAGCCCCATGCGACCTGAGTTGCTCAATGGTTAGTTGACAAGGANAAGAATTACAACAATCATATGATAAGCCGAAATTTATATAGAGATATGAATTTTTTCTCTCATCATATCAAAAGCCAATTTTTTTTTTTTTTTCTTCTGTCTTGATATTAATTCCTTGACCATTTGTTTGGTTGACGGGAAAATTTGATAAGAAGGACAAGAAATGGTTATTCATATTTTTCAGATTGTTCTGTTCTATTTGTGAGAAATCTTAAACAATTGCTTTTCTCTTTGTTCTCTCTTAATTTGTTTCTTCTCATCTAACTTATTTAACTCTTTTTCTTGCATTCTTTAAAATTTGTATAAAAGTTGTCTCTTTTGATGATTATAGGTGAGGCAGTCGTAGGAGGAGGAGCGGTTAAGCAATAAAAGAAAGCCGGGGCGGCGGCTGATGGAGTAACCACCATGCACTAGGTGATATTGGCAATCGCGTAACTGTTTGAGGAATCGATGGCAAGCCTCAGCCTCAGATTACTCGCCCCATCACTAGGAGTTTTTGCCCTCAATTACTCGCCAATGCACCAGCTGTGAGAATAACAAGGTTAGTCTTTTTTAACCCAAATGTTCAATCTTTCACTTGATTCTTTCTGCTCTTCTTTGCTAACAACTGGTTTCTTTTGTTCCTTTGAATTACAGAAACAAGTTTATGTTAATGTGGATAAGGCGCCTGTTCTTGTTGAGGGACTTCCGGTGGGTAAAAAACCAGTGGCCGCAAAGGCAGCTCAAAAGAAAGTCTTTGTTTTGCAATTGAGTGAATAATAGATGGAGATTGTGCTAGAGCTCATCTTTTTTCTGCTTTGAAATAATTTCTTTTACTGTTTGAATACTTGTATTTATAGTGAAATGGGTATCTGTATTTGATAGTGAAGTTCGGAATTGCGAACGTGTTGCAACGGTTTGGCATGAAAAGAGCATTAGTCGTTCCCTCAGAGGGCTTAGATGAGTTGAGTCCCCTTGGTAAGATTCTTTCTCGGCAATAAATTTGTATGTTTATTTAGCAAATATAGATGTTAGCTCCCTTAAACTATCTAGATCTTTTTATTTGTTCCTATTTTATTCTCATGAATCTACTTTGATCATGCACAATGATCCGAATCTAGGACCTGGTCTTGTGCTTGATGTCACCCCAGAAAAGATTGAGAGATTCTCATTTAATCCCTGTAAGATCTTATCAGTGATCTATAATTCATTTTTTCCTATAATTTAACCATTTAAATTGTTACATTTGTTTTGCAATTGAGTGAATACTAGATGGAGATTGTGCTAGAGCTCATCTTTTTTATGCTTTGAAATAGTTTCTTTTATTATTTGGATACTTGAATTTTACAGTGAAATGAGTATCTGTATTTGATATTGAAGTTCGGGATTCCTTGGTGCACTCTTGCTAGCTTGCTAGTTTATAATGCAAAGGTCTTAAGAGATGTACTGTCAGGGAAGAGAGGGCCAATTGCAGATGCATTTGTTAGTTTTCTCTGCTTGCTTTCAAGCACAACTGAATGCTCCCTGTTTCTTGTTGTGTCCAGAATTAGTTATGGACATATGTACCATTGGGTCAGCTCCAGTTATGGCCTCCAGATTGATCCATGGTATATAATGAAGGTAATATTATTTTCCAATACCCTGGTATGCACTGTGAGTTAGCTCATTTTAAGGACTAAATATTAATCAGATAACAAAATGCTGCAACTGCACTGTTGGTGAGCAGCCACGTGAATAGCTTAGGGCATCTCCAACCCACGCCAAAGCGTCACGCCAATTTGGTGTGGCGCTACAGTGCTGCGCCAAATTCTAAATGGCGTGGCACTGTAGCGCCAATAATTTTTTTTTCTTTTTTTTAATTTTGCTTTTTTTTGTTTTTTTTTTTAATTTTGTTAGGTTAATTTGAGTATTAATTTTTACATCAAAAATCACACCAAATTTGATTATTAATGATATAATTCAAAAAATGATGAAAAAATAAAAAAAAAACTTTATACAATGCAAATATTAAACTACAATAACTCAAAATAAAAATTAACACTAATTTAAAAACACTAAAATTAAAAGAAAATACAACATAAACTAAAATAACAATTTAGTATTCCGGTAGATTAGTTCCGGATTCAGTAAGATCATCAAAATATTGAAAAGAACTAGAGTTATTTTGAGATCCTTAATCTTGTTGTTGAGCTCTTTTTTGCATAATTCTTGATTGCTCATTTTGAAAAAAACTCACATAGGCTTAGATCGGTTATAGAATTCAAATCCTTGAATAAAATTTTGTTAATATATACAAAAATGTAATGTTTATTTGAATAAATAAATGCTTAATTTTATTAAATTAGTATAATTTTTAAAATAATTATTATTTAATAAAAATATCATTCCCAATATTTAATTAATATATACAAAATTAACGAGTGAAATAGATTAATTGTTAATTATTACAATAAAAGAAAAAAAAGAATATTCTAAAGAATATTTTAAAGAATATTCTTTTTGGTATAATATTTGATGTTGTGGGTCGGAGATGGAATAGTGTTTTGCACCAAAATTTACACCAATTTGGTGCAATAGGTTGGAGATGGTGCTGAAGGAGTATCCTTGGCATGCGAAACACTATTATCAGCAAAAGCTCTTAAGACACTGGATTTGTGGATACAGATTTCCAAGGTTAGTACTTGTACAATCTAGATCTTAGTTGATTTTGCCTTAGTATTTTCCTGTGTGGACTTGATTGAAGCAGAACATGTAAGAAGATCTGGCAGATTAACACAAGATAATTGTTCTGATTAAGCGAAGGAATAAGTGATTAGAAAAGGAAAAATAGCCCCATGCGACCTGAGTCACTCAATGGTTAGTTGACAAGGAACTTTTTTGTAAGTAATCTCATTGGGAGATGTTGTTGTTTAGTCCTATATTGGATTGAAAAATGGATAAATAGTAGGGTCATTGTGATAGACCTCATATTACTAAAGTCTACCAATTGAAGGGGAAGTATGCTAGGAAGGTGGACGGGTTGGATGGTGTGGTTGACATTGTTGGAACGGGTGCTGATGGTGCAAACACAGTGAACATTCCTACTGGTGCTTCAATACTTGTTGTGGCTTGTGGTGCAAAAGTTGCTAAGGTTGGAGTAATTTTCATCCTTATGAAATGCCTTACAATATTTTCCTAATATGATGTTTAGGGACCTAATTTATGCTACAAACTATAACTGTTCGATTATTTGCTGAACAGCATGGAAGTCGTTCTAGCTCTTGTGCATTTGGAAGTGCTGATGTGTTAGAAGCTTTAGGTGTAGTTCTTGACTTGGGACCAGAGGTAGGAGCTCATGAATCAAGTTATTTGTTGTCAAATAATTGATGTTATAGTATGGTGTTATTCATGTATTTGTGGCTAATTCGTCTATGGGTTACCAAGTATTTGCTATTGTAAACAGTACTTCTTCCCATAACAATTACTTGGAACTCAAATGATACAAAGAAAATGGTCAGTGTCTCAACTTGATATGCTTCATGGTTTTAACATTAACAATAGTAATGATGAATTGCATCGTTTATTTTTTTTGAATTAAATGGCCCCCTCACTCCCTGTCAAAGAGTTTATTGGACATTAGAGCAATTTTTGGGAATTTATGGATCAAAACCTTACCAAGCATTAGTTGTTTTGCTATAATTGTGTTCTTGTAGCAAATCTGGCCTTATCTCACTTTGGTATTTTCACAGCAGACTTCATAAACCATAGATTAGGTTGAAAATCAGACCACTGAGTTGTTGGTCTACTTAACCTTTGAACACGAATTTAGAACAGAACTTTATCTATAATATATGCTATTGGCTCAGACTTTTTTCTCTTATTTATTTCTTGAAAACAGGATGTAACAAGGTATGTAAATGAGGCAGGGATTGGTTTCATGATGTCTCCATCCAGTAGTGAATATTGTTAGGCCAGTGAGGAAAACGCTGAAAGTAAAAACTGTATTGAATATTTTGGGCCCTATGTTGAATTCTGCACAGGTGCCTGTTGTTGTGGTTGGTGTATACACTGAAGACTTGGTAAGTGCCTTTACAATGCGCTGTAGCCATAATATAAATATCATATCCTATATGAAGATTTCTCTTAGTTCAACATCATTAACCAAAACATTTCTTGATCATTTACTTTTTTGTTAAAATTTCAATGTCTTGGCCGATGAAAGGTTATAGTGGTAACTCACTCTAGAGTTGTAAGTCATCTAATTTTCTTGAGTTATTTTGAGAGGTTCTCTGTGCTTTCTAGATTAATAAATAAATTTAGTTGCAAGATTATTCATATATGTATCCAACGATGTTCTCTTTTCATTTATTCCACTGCGATTATGATGTCAATGGATCTTGCATTGTGTAATTAATGGCTTTATAATAATATCATGAGTTGTTTAATTTGGTAAAGAGAGCTCTGGCTGTATTTGAGGCCATGTTTGGAAGTCTCTTTATGGTTTTCTTGTTAGGTACACAAAATTGCCAACGCGTTTCAATGGTTTGGCATGAAAAGAGCATTAGTTGTTCACTTAAGAGGGCTTAGAAGAGATGAGTCCCCTTGGTAAGATTCTTTCTCGGCAATAAACTTATATGTTTATTTAGCAAATATAGATGTTGGCTCCCTTAAACTGTCCAGATCTTTTTATTTGTTCCTATTTTATTCTCATGAATCTACTTTGATCATGCACAATGATCCGAATCCAGGACCTGGTCTAGTGCTTGATGTCACCCCAGAAAAGATTGAGAGATTCTCATTTGATCCCTGTAAGATCTTATCAGTGATCTATAATTCATTTTTTCCTATAATTTAACCATTTGAATTGGTACATTTGTTTTGCAATTGAGTGAATACTAGATGGAGATTGTGTTAGAGCTCATCTTTTTTCTGCTTTGAAATAGTTTCTTTTATTGTTTGAATACTTGAATTTTATAGTGAAATGAGTATCTGTATTTGATGGTGAAGTTCAGAATTCCTCGGTGCACTCTTGCTAGCTTGCTAGTTTATAATGCGAAGGTCTTAAGGGATGTACTGTCAATTGCAGATGCATTTGTTAGTTTTCTTTTCTTGCTTTCAAGCCCAACTGAATGCTCCCTATTTCTTATTGTGTCTAGAATTAGTTATGGTACATATGCACCACTGGATCAACTCCAGTTATGGCATCTAGACTGATCCATGGTATATAATGAAAGTAATATTATTCTCCAGTACCCTGGTATGCACTGTGAGTTAGCTCATTTTAAGGACTAACTATTAATCAGATAACAATTGGGCAGATCCTAAATGCTGCAGCTGCACTGTTGGTGAGCAGCCACGTGAACAACTTAGCTGAAGAAGTATCCTTGGCATGCAAAACACTGTTATCAGCAAAAGCTCTTAAGACACTGGATTTGTGGGTACAGATTTCCAAGGTTAGTACTTGTACAATCTAGATCTTAGTTGATTTTGCCTAAGTATTTTCCTGTGTGGACTTGATTGAAGTAGAACATGTAAGAAGATCTGGCAGATTAACACAAGATAATTGTTCTGATTAAGTGAAGGAATAAGTGATTAGAAAAGGAAAAATAGCCCCATGCGACCTGAATCGCTCAATGGTTAGTTGACAACGAACTTTTTTGTAAGTAATTTGTTGCGAACCTACCAAGATTTCTCAATCACTCACACATACAATAGCTCATAACCGAAACAAACAGCAATTTATAGCAATCTCTAGAGTTCCAGAATAACATAAGAGAAGTATTTCATTGATAATTCTGTTTACACCACTCTAGACCATCTCTCAAATAAGAACTACTGGGTTTAATTAACTACACTGAAAATAAGAGAAACCAAGCTAGAACATAATAGAAACTGATATGCTGGACTTCGAGGGCCAGCTACCTCCCCTTTTCCTCTCTTCTTTATCGATGCCTATTTCCCTTTCTGCTGCTCCTTTTATTCATTTCTTCTACTAACAGAATTTACCCTTCCTCCANTATATAATAGTGAAGGATTTGTATGGAAGTCTAAGCTTTTTTGAATAATCAATAAATAAATTGTAATAAAGATTGACAAAGCATTAAATGTTTTATTGAAATTGTTTTTTCACCAGAAGTATGCCAGTTTTACTTCTTTAAGGGGATTCAAATTGATGTGTATTTGCTTACTGGACTGAAGCATTTTAAAGATTATTGCTGATGGTGTAAGGCTTTACCTTAGGTTCTCACCTCAGATCTGGAAGTTTAGCTAATTGATGAGGTTCATGTAGAGAATTGTCATCCATGAAATTCATTTTGTTTTGTTTTTATGTACTGCTTCTGGATCATAGTTAGTAGTTATTTTGGGGAAAATAAATTGGATTATTCACTTGTAAAATTCCTGTCTCCCCTCAATGTCTGATTTTAATGATGAGAATGTTTCTATTTTTTCTGTTTTTTCCTATCGTTGTTTCTCATTTTTTACCTATCCAGCTCTTTTCTTTTTCTTTTTTGTGTAGAAATGCTATTTTTTTTTAATTCATTATCATGAAAATTCAGTTAACCATACAAAATTAATTTGATTGTAGACGTTATCAATATGCAAATCTTTTTAGATATTAATAATTATTATGTCTCATATATTATCCTTGTTGATATGCAGTGCCAGGAAAGGCAGTGGTTTTTGAGAGCAAGAACTTAGTAAGCTAGAGAGGGGTTGTGATTGAATGAATAATGAGAGAGCTGACATTTGTAAAACTAGGTCTTCTTACAATAAGAGTTTGAGTAAACAAAAAACTCATAGTGTTAATCCATGTAGGAGTGGGATTACTAGTTCATGTAAGACTAGGAGTCTTGGATGAACTAGGATATATATAGGACCTATAGTCCTATTATGGGATGATTCTAGACTGATGAGTTGGAACCTAAGGTAACTTATCCTATAAAAAAGGCCCAACTCATAGAGTGACCTAAAATGTAGGTTGGCCTAATTCTTAAGGTGGCATTGATCATAGAATGGTCCAACTTGTAGAGTAGCCCAACTCATGGAGCAGGCTGACTCGTGGTGTAGACCAGCTTGTAGAATGGGTCGGCCCATAAAGCGCTTTTTCTTATAGAATGGGCCATTATGTTGGATGGTTCTTCTTATAGAATGGGCCATTCTGTTGGATGACCCATTCTATAATGGATGGTGACCAGTTGTTGGCATTTAATGGGTCATGGGTGTTGTCTGTAATTTTAATAACTTTAAAATAAAACTTTTGAAATCTTACAAATTGTCCCCCAAAGCTCGTTTAAGCTCGCAAGCTCGACGAGCCGAGCTCAGCTCGGATCGAACTTGGCTCGTTATAGTTCACGAGCTACTCGAGCTTGACTCGACTAGTTTCGAGTCAAACTCGAGCTTACGACTAGCCGAGCTTGAGTAGCTCGCGAGCTAATCGGCTCGCGTCTCATCCCTAGTTACCACCATTGCATTCACCAACGCTTTCTCTTCAAAAGCCCCAAAATCCCGACCATCAATTGTTCTTCGATCATCCTTCCAAATCCTAGGGTTTTGGATGAATAGGAAAAATATAAACCCTGCCCGTTGAAGCTTTCAGGTCCTGGTTGAACTAATTAAATTGGCCGGGCCAGGCCGGGTTTTCAAACATTGATAAAATGAAAAAATAGGCCCATTACATGGACTAACCTATTTGGGCTGCCATAAGCCTTTTCTATTTTGTAATATCCCGAGAAAGAAGATTGAGCCTTTTGGTGAGAGCCCATGTATTCACTTCTCTTTGGGTAAAGGGGACATATAATTACTTGGTTCTTGCAAGTTTCTTTTTAGAGGGAAGAGGATTAGAACATTGACTACTCTGCATTGATGATCCGTGTGTTTATTTTGTCAGATTCTCCTAGAAAATTTTCATAATTCAACACAAACAATAACTTTTTGCCACACTGCTCAGCGCATCGTTCACCATTGGATCATAAAGAAAGATTGACGGTCTAAAATCAAAAGGAATTCGACCGTTGTATCTTATTATAGCTTCCAAAAGAGACCCATTTCTCGCATTCTCTCTTCGCCTCTTTCTCACTAATAGACAGTAACATTCTCAGAAGAAGAAGAAAATAAGACATGGCTTCAAGACCCATTGTTCCACAACAAGCCAGAGGTATATTTCGTATATCGATGATAAACATCTTTAATTTTCTTGATGATTTCTCTCTTCTTCTTCTGTTTTCTTTTTTTTTTTTTTAGTTCTTTTTTGTGTTTGGTTTTTCTAATTTTTATGACCCTTTTGATTTTGAGCCCTTTTTATGTTTAATTTGAATTTATTGAACTAAAAAATGTGGACTTATGTTGAATCTCTTGATTCTTGGTGACCCTTTTTTTTTTCTTCTGTCTTGATATTAATTCCTTGACCATTTGTTTGGTTGATGGGAAAATTTGATAAGAAGGACAAGAAATGGTTATTCATATTTTTCAGATTGTTCTGTTCTATTTGTGAGAAATCTTAAACAATTGGTTTTCTTTTTGTTCTCTCTTAATTTGTTTCTTCTCATCTGACTTATTTAACTCTTTTTTCTTGCATTCTTTAAAATTTGTATAAAAGTCGTCTCTTTTGATGATTATAGGTGAGGCAGTCGTAGGAGGAGGAGCGGTTAAGCAACAAAAGAAAGTCAGGGCGGCGGCTGATGGGAGTAACCACCATGCACTAGGTGTATTGGCAATCGCGTAACTGTTTGAGGAATCGATGGCAAGCCTCAACCTCAGATTACTCGGCCCATCACCAGGAGTTTTTGCCCTCAATTACTTGCCAATGCACCAACTGTGAGAATAACAAGGTTGGTCTTTTTTAACCCAAATGTTCAATCTTTCACTTCATTCTTTCTGCTCTTCTTTGCTAACAACTGGTTTTTTTTGTTCCTTTGAATCACAGAAACAAGTTTATGTTAATGTGGATAAGGCGCCTGTTCTTGTTGAGGGACTTCCGGTGGGTAAAAAACCAGTGGCCGCAAAGGCAGCTCAAAAGAAAGTCTTTGTTTTGCAATAGAGTGAATACTAGATGGAGATTGTGCTAGAGCTCACCTTTTTTCTGCTTTGAAATAGTTTCTTTTATTGTTTGGATACCTGAATTTTACAATGAAATGAATATCTGTATTTGATATTGAAGTTTGGGATTCCTCGGTGCACTCTTGCTAGCTTGCTAGTTTATAATGCGAAGGTCTTAAGAGATGTTCTGTCAGTGAAGAGAGGGCCAATTGCAGATGCATTTGTTAGTTTTCTCTGCTTGCTTTCAAGCCCAACTGAATGCTCCATATTTCTTGTTGTGTCCAGAATTAGTTATGGACATATGTACCATTGGGTCAACTCCAGTTATGGCCTCCAGACTGATCCATGGTATATAATGAGGGTAATATTATTTTCCAGTACCCTGGTATGCACTGTGAGTTAGCTCATTTTAAGGACTAAATATTAATCAGATAACAATTGGGCAGATCCTAAATGCTGCAGCTGCACTGTTGCTGAGCAGCCACGTGAACAGCATAGCTGAAAGAGTATCCTTGGCATGCAAAACACTATTATTAGCAAAAGCTCTCAAGACACTAGATTTGTGGATACAGATTTCCAAGGTTAGTACTCGTACAATCTAGATCTTAGTTGATTTTGCTTCAGTATTTTCCTGTGTGGACTTGATTGAAGCAGAACATGTAAGAAGATCTGGCAGATTAACACAAGATAATTGTTCTGATTAAGCGAAGGAATAAGTGATTAGAAAAGGAAAAATAGCCCCATGCGACCTGAGTCACTCAATGGTTAGTTGACAAGGAACTTTTTTGTAAGTAATCTCATTGGGAGATGTTGTTGTTTAGTCCTATATTGGATTGAAAAATGGATAAATAGTAGGGTCATTGTGATAGACCTCATATTACTAAAGTCTACCAATTGAAGGGGAAGTATGCTAGGAAGGTGGAAGGGTTGGATGGTGTGGTTGACATTGTTGGAACGGGTGGTGATGGTGAAAACACAGTGAACATTTCTACTGGTGCTTCAATACTTGCTGCGGCTTGTGGTGCAAAAGTTGCTAAGGTTGGAGTAATTTCATCCTTATGAAATGCCTTACAATATTTTCCTAATATGATGTTTAGGGACCTAATTTATGCTACAAACTATAACTGTTCGATTATTTGCTGAACAGCATGGAAGTCATTCTAGCTCTTGTGCATTTGGAAGTGTTGATGTGTTAGAAGCTTTAGGTGTAGTTCTTGACTTTGGACTGGAGGTAGGTGCTCATGAATCAAGTTATTTGTTGTCAAATAATTGATGTTATAGTATCGTGTTATTCATGTATTTGTGGCTAATTCATCTATGGGTTACCAAGTATTTGCTATTGTAAACAGTACTTCTTCCCATAACAATTACTTGGAACTCAAATGATACAAAGAAAATGGTCAGTGTCTCAACTTGATATGCTTCATGGTTTTAACATTAACAATAGTAATTATGAATTGCATGATAGATTGCATCGTTTATTATTTTTTTAATTAAATGGCCCCCTCACTCCCTGTCAAAGAGTTTATTGGACATTAGACCAATTTTTGGGAATTTATGGATCAAAACCTTACCAAGCATTAGTTGTTTTGCTATAATTGTGTTCTTGTAGCAAATCTAGCCTTTTCTCACTTTGGTATTTTCACAGCAGACTTCATAAACCATAGATTACGTTGAAAATCAGACCACTGAGTTGTTGGTCTACTCAACCTTTGAACACGAATTTAGAACAGAACTTTATCTATAATATATGCTATTGGCTCAGACATTTTTCTCTTATTTATTTCTTGAAAACAGGATGTAACAAGGTGTGTAAATGAGGCAGGGATTGGTTTCATGATGTCTCCAAAGTATCATCCAGTATTGAATATTGTTAGGCCAGGGAGGAAAACGCTGAGAGTAAAAACTTTATTGAATATTTTGGGCCCTATGTTGAATCCTACACAGGTGCCTTTTGCTGTGGTTGGTGTATACACTGAAGACTTGGTAAGTGCCTTTACAATGCGTTGTAGCCATAACATAAATATCATATCCTATATGAAGATTTCTCTTAGTTCAACATCATTAACCAAAACATTTCTTGATCATTTACTTCTTTGTTAAAATTTCAATGTCTTGGCCGATGAAAGGTTATAGTGGTAACTCACTCTAGAGATGTAAGGCATCTAATTTTCTTGAGTTATTTTGAGAGGTTCTTTGTGCTTTTTAGATTAATAAATAAATTTAGTTGCAAGATTATTCATATATGTATCCAACGATGTTCTCTTTTCATTTATTCCACTGCAATTATGATGTCAATGGATCTTGCATTGTGTAATGGCTTTATAATAATATCATGAGTTGTTTAATTTGGTAAAGAGAGCTCTGGCTGTATTTGACTGGTGAGTAACTTGCCATGTTTGGAAGTCTCTTTATGGTTTTCTTGTTAGGTACTCAAAATTGCCAACGTGTTTCAACGGTTTGGCATGAAAAGAGCTTTAGTTGTTCACTTAGAGGGCTTAGATGAGATGAGTCCCCTTGGTAAGATACTTTCTCGGCAATAAACTTATATGTTTATTTAGCAAATATAGATGTTGGCTCCCTTAAATTCTCCAGATCTTTTTATTTGTTCCTATTTTATTCTCATGAATCTACTTTGATCATGCAGAATGATCCGAATAAAGGACCAAGTCTAGTGCTAGATGTCACCCCAAAAAAGATTGAGAGATTCTCATTTGATCCCTGTAAGATCTTATCAGTGATCTATAATTCATTTTTTCCTATAATTTAACCATTTGAATTGGTACATTTGTTTTGCAATTGAGTTAATACTAGATGGAGATTGCGCTAGAGCTCATCTTTTTTCTGCTTTGAAATAGTTTCTTTTATTGTTTGAATACTTGAATTTTATAGTGAAATGAGTATCTGTATTTGATGGTGAAGTTTGGAATTCCTCGGTGCACTCTTGCTAGCTTGCTAGTTTATAATGCGAAGGTCTTAAGGGATGTACTATCAGTTGCACATGCATTTGTTAGTTTTCTGTGCTTGCTTTCAAGCCCAACTGAATGCTCCCTATTTCTTGTTGTGTCCAGAATTAGTTATGGTACATATGTACCACTGGATCAGCTCCAGTTATGGAGTCTAGACTGATCCATGGTATATAATGAAAGTAATATTATTCTCCAGTACCCTGGTATGCACTGTGAGTTAGCTCATTTTAAGGACTAACTATTAATTGGATAACAATTGGGCAGATCCTAAATGCTGCAGCTGCACTGTTGGTGAGGAGCCATGTGAACAACTTAGCTGAAGGAGTATCCTTGGCATGCGAAACACTATTATCAGGAAAAGCTCTTAAGACACTGGATTTGTGGATACAGATTTCCAACGTTAGTACCGGTACAGTCTAGATCTTAGTTGATTTTGCCTTAGTATTTTCCTGTGTGGACTTGATTGAAGCAGAACAGGTAAGAAGATCTGGCAGATTAACGCAAGATAATTGTTCTGATTAAGTGAAGGAATGAGGGATTAGAAAAGGAAAAGTAGCCCCATGCGACCTAAGTCGCTCAACGGTTAGCTGACAAGGACCTTCTTTTTAAGTAATCTCACTAAGAGGTATTGTTGTTTAGTCCTATATTGGATTGAAAGTTGGAGAAATAGTAGGGTCATTGTGATAGACCTTCTATTACTAAAGTCCACCAATGAAGGGGAAGTATGCTAGGAAGGTGGAAGGGTTGGATGGTGTGGTTGACATTGTTGGAACAGGTGGTTATGGTGCAAACACTGTGAACATTTCCACTGGTGCTTCAATACTTGTCTCGGCTTGTGGTGCAAAAGTTGCTAAGGTTGGAGTCATTTTCATCCTTATGCAATGCCTTACAATAATTTCCTAATATGATATTTAGAGACCTAATTCATGCTACAAACTATAACTGTTCGATTATTTGCTGAACAGCATGGAAGTCGTTCTAGCTCTCTTGCATGTGGAAGTGCTGATGTGTTAGAAGCTTTAGGTGTAGTTCTTGACTTGGGACCGGAGGTAGGTTCTCATGAATCAAGTTATTTGTTGTCAAATAATTGGTGTTATAGTATGGTGTTATTCATGTATATGTGGCTAATTCGTCAATGTGTTACCAAGTATTTGCTATTGTAGACAGTACTTCTTCCCATAACAATTACTTGGAACTCAAATGATACAAAGAAAATGGTCAGTGTCTCAACTTGATATGCTTCATTGTTTCAACATTAACAATAGTAATGATGAATTGCATGATAGATTGCATTGTTCTTTTTTTTTTTTTTTTTGAATTAAATGCCCCCCTCACTCCCTGTCAAAGAGTTTATTGGACATTAGGCCAATTTTTGGGCAATTTATGGATCAAAACGTTACCAAGCATTAGTTGTTTTGCTATAATTGAGTTCTTGCAGAAAATCTTGCCTTTTCTCTTTTTGGTAATTTCAAAGCAGACTTCATAAACCACAGATTAGGTTGAAAATAAGACCACTGAGTTTTTGGTCTACTCAACCTTTGAACATAAATTTAGAACAGAACTTTATCTATAATATATGATGTTGGCTCAAACTTTTCTCTTTTTTATTTCTTGAAAACAGGATGTAAGAAGGTGTGTAAATAAGGCAAGGATTGGTTTCATGATGTCTCCAAAGTATGATCCAGTAATGAATATTGTTAGGCCAGTGAAGAAAACGCTGAAAGTAAAAACTGTATTCAATATCTTGGGCCCTATGTTGAATCCTGCATGGATGCCTTTTGCTGTGGTTGGTGTATACACTGAAGACTTGGTAAGTGCCTTTACAGTGCGCTGTAGCCATAACATAAATATCATATCTCATATGAAGAATTCTCTTAATTTAACATAATTAACCAAAACATTTCTTGATCATTTACTTCTTTGTTAAAATTTCAATGTCTTGGCTGATGAATGGCTTTTCAGATTAATCAATAAATTTAGCTGCAAGATTATTCATACATGTATGTTCTCTTTTCATTTATTCCACTGCAATTATGATGTCAATGGATCTTGTATTGTGTAATGGCTTTTTAATAATATCATGAGCTGTTTGATTTGGTAAAGAAAGCTCTGGTTGTTTTTGACTGGTGAGTAACTTGCCATGTTTGGAAGTCTCTTTTTGGTTGTCTTGTTAGGTACTCAAAATTGCCAACGTGTTGCAACGGTTTGGCATGAAAAGAGCATTAGTTGTTGACTCAGAGTGCTTAGATGAGATGAGTCCTCTTGGTAAGAATCTTTCTCGGCAATAAACATATATGTTTACTTAGCAAATAGAGATGTTAGCTCCCTTCAACCGTCTAGATCTTTTTATTTGTTCCTATTTTATTCTCATGAATCTACTTTGATCATGCACAATGATCCGAATCTAGGACCTGGTCTGGTGCTTGATGTCACCCCAGAAAAGATTGAGAGATTCTCATTTGATCCCTATAAGATCTTATCACTGATCTATAATTCCTTTTTTCCTATAATCTAACCATTTGAATTGGTACATTTGTTTTTTAATTGAGTTAATACTAGATGGAGATTGTGCTACAGCTCATCTTTTTTCTCCTTTTAAATAGTTTCTTTTATTGTTTGAATACTTGAATTTTATAGTGAAATGAGTACCTTTATTTGATAGTGAAGTTCGGAATTCCTTGGTGCACTCTTGCTAGCTTGCTAGTTTATAATGCGAAGGTCTTAAGGGATGTACTGTCAGTTGAAGATGCATTTGTTAGTTTTCTCTGCTTGCTTTCAAGCCCAACTGAATGCTCCATGTTTCTTGTTCTGTCCAAAATTAGTTATGGACATATGTACCATTGGGTCAACTCCAGTTATGGCCTCCAGACTGATCCATGGTATATAATGAAGGTAATATTATTTTCCAGTACCCTGGTATGCACTGTGAGTTAGCTCATTTTAAGGACTAAATATTAATCAGATAACAATTGGGCAGATCCTAAATGCTGCAGTTGCACTGTTGGTAAGCAGCCACGTGAACAGCTTAGCTGAAAGAGTATCCTTGGCATGCGAAACACTATTATCAGGAAAAGCTCTTAAGACATTGGATTTGTGGATACAGATTTCCAAGGTTAGTACTCTTACAATCTAGATCTTAGTTGATTTTGCCTCAGTATTTTCCTGTGTGGACTTGATTGATGCAAAACATGTAAGAAGATCTGGCAGATTAACACAAGATAATTGTTCTGATTAAGCGAAGGAATAAGTGATTAGCAAGGGAAAAGTAGCCCCATGCCACCTGAGTGGCTTAATGGTTAGTTGACAAGGAACTTCTTTGTAAGTAATCTCATTGGGAGATGTTGTTTAGTCCTATATTGGATTGAAAGTTGGATAAATAGTAGGGTCATTGTGATAGACCTTCTATTACTTAAGTCCACCAATGAAGGGGAAGTATGCCAGGAAGGTGGAAGGGTTGGAGGGTTGGATGGTGTGGTTGTGTAATGTCTCACTAGGCAAGTTTTCACCAAATATCTTATTGAGAGAATCCAGAGAATTGCTAGCTTAAAAAGGGGGTTTGTCTAAATTTTTTATCCTTATTCCAGTTATAACATACTATTACACAAAGACTATTTCTCACATCTATCAATCCACATTAAAATTCTTCACTAAGACAGTGTGCGCAATCCTTTCGCCAGCTTGACGTCTCCCGACCACTACAATCTAATACCTACAAAAATAAGGAAAGCAACGGGGTGAGCTATAAATGCTCAGTAAGTAAACCAAATCTAACTATACTCTTACTCAGTTGTCCCCGTTTCTGTTGTACTGCTTTTAAATTTCTGCTTGCTTTCTCTTTTTATTCTCAGGCGTACTACTTAGTAGTCTTCTATTTTTCTCATCTAAATCCTCCTAGTGTTGTGCTATTCTTTATCATTTTATTTCTCTTCTCTGCTAGATTATAACTTTCTGTCTCTTTCTCTACTCAACAAATCGCTAAGTTTCCTTGTTATTTGTCATGTTTCTAATTTCTGTTCTTTTCTAGCATGTATCTAATTTCTGTTCTTTTCTTGTATATCTCTAATTTCTTTTCTATTGTCGTACTATTTTCTTTTCTTCTCTATTCTCATGGGTTCTATTTTCTTTTCTTTTCTATTCTCATGGGCTACTATTTTCTTTTCTTCTCTATTCTCATGGGCTTCTATTTTCTTTTCTTCTCTATTCTCATAGGCTTCTATTTTCTTTTCTTGGCTAGTCAGACATACAATAATAAAATAAATTGTTTAATCTATGCATAAATGCAAGAGATGCAATGCATATAAAATGTCTTATGCATATGCAAATGATCATGTTTGTATTTTTTCTGAAAATTACTTTCTAATTCTTTATGAAATTATTTCTCTTTCTTTCTGAAATTCTTTCTGTTTTCTATTTTTCTTTCTTTTTGAAATTCTTTCTGTTTTCTATTTTTCTTTCTTTTTCCGAAATTCTTTCTATATTTTGTTCTGATTTGCCGATCGGACTAGGCTGAGGCATGGATTTAGAACCCTGACCGTGTGAGCGTATTCTGAAATTCTTTCTAGGTATAGTCCTCATCCACATGCACTTCTAGCAGACTATGAGGCTGCATTAGCTAATTCTGTTTTCTATTATGAGGCTGCTCATTGATAGCGGTGTACATGTGGAAAACTTCTGCATCTCTGTCGCCACTAGCTAATGCAGCTCCCCATCGCAACAGCCCTCTGAAAATATGCTCTATAAATCTGCAAAATAACTAGCTAGACATTTGCCAATAATTTTAAATTTTTTGAAATATATGCTATGCTATGTCATGCATTTATATGCTGTTTATGCATGATCCCAAAATACGTGTCTGACTTTGACATATATTCTATGACTTTTATTTCTATACTTTTCTGGAAAGCCCAAAGTTCTATTCTAATAATGCACTTAACTTAAACATTTTCTATTTTATTCTTTATTTCTGAATTCTATGCATCGTGTGTACGTACGCAATTCTATATTTTTTACATAATTCTTTAATTCTATCATGCTATGTAAAATGTACACATACACAAGTACATTATCTCTCACAAATTCTACTATTCTATAATTATATTAGTGAGATATTAAAATGGCACAATTCAACTAGGGAGTGAATTCTACATTTTGGGCAATGTAATTTCTTCGATAAAAAGCTATGCTACAACTTAGGTATTAAGTCTACTAACTTATCCAATTATGTTACTAGATTTTCTCAAATTTATATGTCACATAACCATGTCATTAAACAACTCTCTAATATTTTTTTAATGTAACAAACATGTCTTGTACAACTTTCTAAATACAAATCTTAATACCATAAATTTGCATTCTCTTACATGACCATCAACTTCAATTGTTATACATGCCCTTCAATCTTCTTTTCTTTTAGCTACATTCTATACATTAATCTATATTATCATATTAATCATTGTAAATTCAATCTAACATATGGCACAACATGTATGCTTTGGCTAAATTTTAATTTTTTTTTTTTTTTTTTTAACATTCTTAACTAAACTTTTGGCCAATACAAAATATTTTCAAGATCTTCTAGCAAATTCTATGGCTTATAATGTATAATAAGGCATGAAAATTATACTCATACAAATTAATTTCTAAAATGGTCATGTATTTAATACATAAACTAAACTTCTATTTCTTTGATGTTTCTTTGATTTTTATACTTGGAAAAACGTTTTTATTCTTTATACAATAAAATCACTTATTACATATTGTTTATAACTAATCTCAAAACAAGGAACAACAATATACTCATTTGGCCAAGCTATTTTTTGAATGATCTTTCTAATTTCAAGCATACAAGCTTGACAATTTATGGTGGCATATTGTAATATTATAATATAATCACACATCTTTTACTATCATTAATACTACACTATTGCAACAATTTAATACGCAATTCTTGTCATCATTTTTTTAAAGTCATAAGTTTCAAAACTCATAATTCAATTATTAAATACAATATGTCATTCAAACTAATGCTAAAAGTTCAAGCAACTTGAACAGTGCACTAAAGGTCATTCATTTCATTGAACTAACATAATTAAGTGTTATTCTAAATTTTGTCATAACAAAATGCACTCTTGAATATTAAAACTTACACTTGGTTAAGCCTAACATAACCTTTCAACTCCAATTCTTTCATTTCTCAAACAACTTCTTCAACAAGACTTAACAAACTCATACATGCTTTTCTCTTTGAATTTTCATCAAACAATTCACATGCACATGCAAATACTTGGTTGGCCACACTTCCACATCTTTCCAAATCCACCAAAATTGGAGCAAAAACTCACCAAACTTAACTTCAATTCTGGTCGGATTCAACACTTCCAAATTCCAACACCAACACTTCAAAATTTCATCCAAAGTTCAACTAAAATATCACATCTACATAACTACTCATCTTGGCTGAACTTCTACACATTACATCAAACAAGCATCTAAATAGCCAATACTTCTTATTATACATTATACACAAACACTCAAGAATCAACTTACACATATACTACTCAAATTAAAGCTTAGAATGGGTTTACTTACCTTGAATTTGTACAACACTAATGATTCAAGCTTCCTTTGCTAAAATTCTTTTCCTCTTGGACCTAAATCATGTAAAAACATAAGAAGTCAAAACTTTAAAGCTTAAATACACACTTTTGTACTAGAATCTTACCTTTGGATGCTTTAGGATTGAAAATCAACAAAAATTTAAGCTAAACCCTATGATTTCTCTTTAAAATTTGATGAAGAAGCTTGAGAGAAAATGGATGAGAGGTGGCGTGCTCAAGGGTGAGAATGGCTAGGGTTTGTCAATTGAAGCCTTATAACTAATAAAATATATATATATTCCTATTTTGCCTTTGCACTTTTATAATAATTCCAATTATGTCATACGTGCATTTATCGATATACCCTCATTTTCAATGGGTTTAAAACATGTTCTTGATCATTTTCACTCCCCACTCTTTCATCTAGTTGTGAGTGAAAAGACAATTTTACCCTTATTCTTTAATTTCTTTCTATTACTTTACAGACACGTATTTATCTCGGCATCACACCACGTGTATTTTCCATAATCTTTCTATCACTTTATTCTCATAGCTAGCACACTTAATACATTATATTTATCATACTCACTTTTCACTTGAACTCGTGATTTTGTGTGAAATGACCATTTTGCCCCTATTAAAACTTTTATGGAATTCCTCTATAAAACTAGTTAAATATATTCACTATAACTATAAAATAATCCCTACCATATTTCTGAATGTGACTATTACAGGTTGACATTGTTGGAACGGGTGGTTATGGTGCAAACACTGTGAACATTTCCACTGGTGCTTCAATACTTGTCTCGGCTTGTGGTGCAAAAGATGCTAAGGTTGGAGTCATTTTCATCCTTATGCAAATGCCTTACAATAATCTCCTAATATGATATTCAGAGACCTAATTTATGTTACAAACTATAATTGTTCGATTATTTGCTGAACAGCATGGAAGTCGTTCTAGCTCTCTTGCATGTGGAAGTGTTGATGTGTTAGAAGCTTTAGGTGTAGTTCTTTGACTTGGGACCGGAGGTAGGTTCTCATGAATCAAGTTAGTTGTTGTCAAATAATTGGTGTTATACAATATGGTGTTATTCATGTATTTGTGGCTAATTCGTCAATGTATTTGCTATTCGTCAATTACTTGGAACTCAAATGATACAAAGAAAATGGCCAGTGTCTCGACCTGATATGCTTCATTGTTTCAACATTAACAATAGTAATGATGAATTGCATGCTAGATGTTTTTTTTTTTTTTTTCGGAATTAATTTTCCCCCAGAGTTCCTATCAAAGAGTTTATTGGACATTAGGCCAATTTTTGGGCAATTAATGGATCAAAACTTTACCAATCATTTGTTGTTTTGCTATAATTGAGTTCTTGCTGCAAATCTTACCTTTTCTCTAAAGGAAGTCAAATAAAATGCTTTTTCGTTTTATTTTTTTTTCATTTAAAATCAATTTATATTATAATATTCAAAGCATTAATTTCCAAATACAAAATTAACCTGAAAAGAGTTATCCTTTAGTTAAAGGGTAATATATACATTTTATTAACAACTATTATTAATTAAAATATATCATTTAATTATGGATCAACCACCCAAAGGAAAGAAAATGATTTAAATCCAGAGCTTGTGACTTAACAAAGTAACGTAACAATGTTTCATCAAACAATTTGTGTTCATGTTATTGATCCTTAAGTTTTTGGAATGCTCTAAATTCCACAGTGAATCATTAAGGATAATAAAATTCTTTCAATAGGTTATTGGGATGTATAAAATATATGTCATGGATGGAAGAGTACAAAATAGAAACAACGTTGCACACTTCACCTGTTGATATAACGTTTATGAAGTCGATTATTAGTTAAGAGTAATGCTTTGCTTACTCACGAACTTACTATCCACTTTACTCACCTTTGTTAAAATCATATATGGTATATGGTATATGTATTATATATATAGCATCCGTACTATGCTTTATATTTACAAAGATTAATAAGATAGTTAATAAGTTCGTGAGTAAACATAACATTATTGATTAGTTAAACATTGTAGGTAAATTTTGAATACAATCTTGAGCTTGCGTGAATTACTATAATTTTATCCTCATGACATAATTCAATAATTTTTTAGAGCCAGACATTTGCTAGATTAATTTAATAGCGTTGTTTAATTATTTTGTATCGAAATCACTTGTTATTAAATAATTATATATACTATTTCTTTAAGGTAATCTTTTCCTTAATTTTCTTTGGCTTCCATCATTCAAAAATATTCGAGGCAATTCAGGCAATTCGATAACTCTCAGTACTTGAAAAATAAAAACCCATTATTAATTCTTGGCTGATGGAGATGCATAGTATTCGTTTATGAAAACATAAAGACTTGAAAGCAGAGAAGCACACACAAAAGTTCTCCCAAATAACCAAAGGCAGCTCACCCGGATACCATTTAAAATTCCGGTTTATAGCAATACATATACATTTTGATACACTTCAACTTTTGATCATGAAGAAAAGAAAACAAAGGGAAGACATAAAAGGTATGAGCGGAAATTGAAACAAAATTTATCCTGCTTTAGATTTTATAAGTGTTCACAGATTTCAATTCCTATAAAATGCAAACGTAAAAGAGGTTGATTAGTAGCAGTGATGACAAAATTGGGTTAAATCCTATAACAGATTACCACACTGGAAGCTGAAGAAAAATTGTAAGAAACCGGGGGTTCAAAGTTTGCACCTGTAAGTATCTCACCTAATAAAGAACACCTGTCAATGAAATTGAAATGAATCACCAAATTTGGAAGGTTTTGCGGAAGTTTAACTAAAAGAAAAGGATACCATTAGATGAAGCAAAATCTGCACCTTCAGGTCTCAGGTTTCGGCAATTAAAGATTGCAACTGCTGCCGGAAAGTAGAAATTTTTTCAGCCTCTACAGCCATCACTAGCCCTGTTAAGCGGTAATTTTTCAGCTGCAAAAATTGATTAAAACCGTATATTAGAATTTCATGTTATGAGTTATTAGTCACAAAAATAAAGACAACAGCGCAATCATTGTAAATAACAATTCCAGTGAATGTGGAACCACTGGAAAGGCAAGAGTATAATGATATCAGTAGAGAAAAACTGGGAAAAAAATGCCTACTTGCCTCCCTCACGCATTATTTAACAAAAACACACCTCAACATAAGGTGAAAAGCAAATATCTTGACATAAGACACAAAATTTTATATTGTAACTCTTGATTAATCGTTAGTATTGTCTTTAGTTAATTTCATAAGTTGTGTCACAATGAAAATCAAAATAAGCTGACAACAATCTCGCTTACCTCTTGAGTTTCAACCTGCTGAGTGTGCATAGGAAAACTGAAGGACCAACAGCTGAGCTGAAATGTATCAGACAAAACAATCAAATTAATGAATGAAAAAAAATATAAGTTAAAGACATGCCTCAAAGGTGTAAAAGTTTGGGTAAAAATAACAAAGAAATAAAAAAATAAAATACATATTCTAGGGTTAAAAAAAGTCAACACCTGGTGAAAAATTTCATCTTCTGGTTTTATATATATTATTTCCTCGTCACTCTGACTACTTTGCTTCTTTTTCTGGCCCGCATTCTTGAGCTGTTATTTTGTATCCGTAGACACAGAAAGACAGAATATTACGAAAGAATTCTCAAACCCATTTGTTAATCAAAATAGTAACAGAGCAATGAGCAGCAGAACGATGCTAAAATGTAAACCTTGTAAATTTTACAGACTAGCAGATAAAACTTAAAGCGGAAGGAATTCCGGAGCTCCTCTGTTGGCTTCAAAGAGAGAAACAAGAAAAATTAAGTTCAGTACAGAAAGTCATTCCAGCAGGTAAAGAGAGACATTATTATACAAGCTCCCTGTCCATACTGTAGTACTCATCTAACCTCATCTTCTGTAGCCCATGAGACTTCATCAAAAAGCGCATCATACATAGGTGGTAAAAGCTGAGGAGGAAGATTCACCACACGCTGTGAGACCAACAGACCCACTTCATGTGCTTGCTCTCCCAACAGTAATCTCAAGTCATTTATTGCATCTTTCTCCTGGCATACTTTAAGGAGATACTCCTTCAGCTCTATTATACATTTATGATCCTGGTAACAATGAAATCTATGGTTCTTAGCCATTACGAATGATTTCCAGTAGATACAGGGATCAGCTCACTACAACTGTCGCAAATATCTGCCAGTTATCAAACACATAGCACACCATGCATTCACAGCATAGAGAGAGAGAAACACCACAGCCAAAATTTGTCAAGAAAGTATTAGCATATCTTAAACCTGTAACTGTCTCGTCAAGCTCATTTCTTGACAGGCTTAAAAGAAGTATGAAACTAATTGAAGAGTGATTTACATATCTATATCGAGCTGAGGTTTGAGATCATAACACGTTCAATTATCAATAATGTCAATTTGAAATTTCCTAATACTGATGGTGCCACACATACTAACCCCTCATGTCTTCTAAAAGATGGCACAAAGTTAACCACATGCTATCCACTGGAACCATTTAAGAAGAAAAAGGAAAAAGAAAAAAGTGGAAGTAGCTTGCCTTATATCTGCCTAAATTAAGAGCAGTCACAACTGAAAAAGGTGAATCGTCGTCATCATCCTCTATTTTAACAACAGTGCCTACAGTGGTCTGTGCCAATATCAAGTCTACAAAACCACTCAAATCCCATTGCGTATCATCAAGGTAAGTCTGTAGCAAAACCTTAACTCCATGGAAGTCATCTAGTTTTGGATCAAAGAACACAAAATCTGCTTGGACAACTCCCTACAATGTAACATACCAAAATCAACATGAAATAGCAAGAAAAAAAATAATTGGAAATTTCAACTTTCACTCAAACTACTAGCAGGATACAAAACTCCTTACCTCAAACCCTTCATCTTCAGAAGACTCAGACTGATCATGCTTCTCTATCAAACTCTTCTCCAAAAATCCATTACCTAAAAGAGCTCAAATCAATAAAAAATAAAAACCAAAAGATTTCAAGCACATATAGCAACATAGAAAACCAAATAATCTTCAGTTACATGACAATACTTGTTGAATTAGGAAGAGACTCTCTATGGGATCTTGCTTTGTGTGTTTGGCCCCTGACCATTTGAATTGAAGCCACTTGAGCCACCGACCGAGCAAACCGAGAGAAAGTTAACGGCCGAGGTTTGAACGAACGGCGATGCCCTTTAGGCTTTCGTGGCATCTCGTTACTTAAAATTCTATCAACGACAAAAAAAATTCAAAACCGAATCCAACATTTTCCATTTCATGTTAAGAGACCAAAAGCAAGTGAAAAGAGTTCAGGTGAATACGAGCTTAACTTATAATTTATTAAGATTTTTGTTAACAAAACTGATTGATTATGGTAGAACAATCAATTAACAAGCAAATAAAAGTTTAATTTGAACATAATTGATGCGGTAACTGCAGAAAAGAGTAAGGAAATGTACCGAATTGAGTTCGAAATTGAGCTTCAGGATCAAGATTAGGGATTGAAAGGTAATAGTAATTCGGCCTCACTTGAATTATGTACGGTCTTCTTGAACTTTAGGGTTTATCAGAGGTTCTCAAATGTCTTTTCATTTAACTAAAAACATGAATCTACCTCGTTGCCTCCTTCTCACCTATTTTACAATGCATAACATAATTCGACATCGGATATAAATACCATACAATAGATTATATGATATTTGATAGAATATTGTAGGCTCGATTGTTTCACTATTTTTACTATCTTATTCCATTATCCTGTCATTAAAAATGAAAATTGTGTTTGTTTTAGGCTCCATTTGGTTGGCTTTTGAGAATACTATTATTAGTATTTTCAAAAAAGTTAAACAATAAAATACCCAAAAACTCACAATATTATCCAATATTATTCAATTTTTTTAAACCCCCTAAATTTGTTAATTTAATTAAATACTCATAAATATTTTTTTCGAAATTACAAAAACACCCGAAACCCACATTATACCAGATTTTGGCCACCATTGCTAGAAGTTGGCTGAAATCTGGTAGGAGCACACTACCGGTTGGATCTTGCCGATGGTGCGCCGATCTAGCCTTTTCCGGCCAGATCCATGGTGGATCTGGCCGGAAACAGATGACACTGCTAGTGATGCTGGAAGTAGTAATAGCAGGAAAATAGTTGGGTATAAATCTGTGCAAATCCCAGTATATGAAGAAGAGACTTCAAGCACAAAAATGATGATGAGTCATGAAATGCATTGTCATGCGATAGTTCAGGGGACTATTGACACATGCATACGTGCTAAACTGTGTTTTCCAGAATATGAGGAATATACTCTGGATAGTCTGTAGATTTTATTGATCTTATAGAAGTGGATAACTTCAAAGATTGATAAAAATCTGGAGGATGGAGATTTGGACAATCGGAAACGTCCAACACGTAATATGCTGACGTGTATCCAACAAGCGTAAGCAATACATGGACAGCCAAGATTTTGCCGACGAAATTTAACGAAGCATATTTAAAGAAAATCTTGAATGTTGTGTCGTATTGTCTCATGTAACATGTGTAAATTGTAATGATTTACTTTTATTTAAAACATGGGAGACATGTGGACCCCATGTCATTTTCTTTAAGATAAATGTTAGTTTTTCATTAGAATATAGTCAAATCACATCTTTTGTGATTGACATGTTGTATTGTATATCTTGTTTTACTTACGGATTCAAATCTTTTGAAATCCGAACTTCTCTATATAAAAAGAAGCGTTGTATATTTGTAATCAGAGAAAACATTAATAATATTTTCAGTTTGTGAAAAATTCAGTCTCTCAATCTCTTGTTTTACTTTTATTGCCTACTCGAAGCAAAGTAAATGTTTATTCAAGACAATTGATACCTAGGAATGAATTAATCTTTTAAAACTGAATTTATGTGTTTGTCTCTCCAATTAATCAACTAGGTTAATTAGTTATTAATTGTAATAATATTTGTAAGACTGAGTGTTACAAATATTATGTGGTGATAAAAAGGTTCCTTGATAATGGAATGATTCTATCTGAAAGAAATGTAGAATGGTTTAAGAACAAGGTGAAGATAAGCACATGTTACAGCAATATAAAGAGTCAAACTTTGCGACTGAGTTGAGACCTGATTCAGATTGACCATGGGTGGTCAGGACGTTTTGGATCAGTTCGCGGCTAGTCTGCAGGACAAATATCCTGGATTGCCTCTAGGATATGCACAGTTTGTGGCCAAAGAAACCCAAGGTGATTGGAAAAAGGCGGAAAAACTCTTTATGAAAGATGTCAAGGAAGAAGACTTTGTTTCTAAAATAGATGGAAAACGGAAGGTTGACATTCCGGAAATTTCTACCTCGGATGCTGAACGAATCAGCAGGTAATATGAGGAAGAAATGAAGAAACAAAGGAATTACCGAGTTAAGATGTTCATCTTCATTTCTAATTGGGATAAGATCATCCTCATCACCTATTCCGCTATTCTTAGGATATTCATTAAGACTACGCGTCCGTTACATGAATATACCTATGCGTTGAAGATTTGAAGATTGTTCCTCAAAAGTCATATCTTTTGAGTTATCCTCTGAAGAATCGGAATCATCAGAGTAATCCGAAATTAATTCATAAACCTCATCATCCGAATCAATTTCGTATCCCCAAACTAGCTCAAATTTAGAAGTTTGATTTTCCGCGTTGACTTCCAAAAATCTTATCGCTGCCTTCTTCTTTCCCTTATGAGGGCATTTATCCGCAAAATGATTTTTGTCACCACAAATCCAGCAACAATTACAATCTTTTGCATTTTTGCCAGATGGGCAAGTAGCACAAAACTTACGCGCTCTGCGTTCCTTAGCGTTAAGTCTACCTTTCCCTGTTCGCCTAATAAACCTTCCATGATCTAGAAGATTCCGTTTATTAGTAACATGTCGTTTTACCATATTACGAAAACGTTTTGGCTTCAAGTTTCTTTTACCGAACGATCCTTTTCGTCTCATATGGGTTTTCCAACCTTGATGTTTAGTCGAATTCCTCGACTCACATGCTCCAAGTATAAGCAACGGGGACACTTGAGAAGGAACTGCCCTTTGAGGATTACTTCTACTTCAAAGGTTACTGTTAAAAAGGAGAAAACAGCGGATAAGCAGGTGGCTTCGTCTTCTAAGCACGTTACTGTTGTAAAGCAGGTTGAAGGAAAGAATGGTATCAGAGCTTTCGAAGATGGGGGGGTATATGTGGTTATACCTGTTAACCTGTTGAAAGTTCTATAGCATGAATAATGGTTTAAATGATGAAGTCTGTTTAAATAAGACTTGTTTTCATTTAGATCATGGTCTCGAGGTAAAACCGGAGATTGGTTTGTTAAATACTGTTGTAGATAAGTTAGAGCTTTTGACCCAGAAGCTTGAAAACTTAGACAGGAGAGTGAGTTATACGGTGTATCGTATATTTGCTCTAAACGAAGAATTAACCCAGATTGGGAGCCAGATTCAAAAGGTTAATTCTGTACTTCAAAAGGTCAAAACACTGGAACGTGTTCTAACTATTTTGCTAAGTCAGTAAATTCAGTTTTAAAAGATTAATTCATGCATGGGTATCAATCGGCTTGAATAAACCTTTTCTTTGCTTCGAGTAGGCAATAAAAGTAAAACAAGAGATTAAGAGACTAAATTTTTCACAAACTGAAAATATTATTAATGTTTTCTCTGATTACAAATATACAACGCTTCTCTTTATATAGAGAAGTTCGGATTTCAAAAGACTTGAATCCGTAAGTTAAACAAAATATACAAAACAACATGTCAATCACAAAAGACATGTGATTTGACTATATTCCAATGAAAAACTAACATTTATCTTAAAGAAAATGACATGGGGTCTACATGTCTCCCATGTTTTAAACAAAAGTAAATTATTACAATTTACATATGTTACATGAGACAATACGACACAACATTCAAGATTTTCTTTAAATATGCTCCATTAAATTTCGTCAGCAAAATCTTAGCTATCCAGGTATTGCTTCTGCTTGTTGGATATTCGATTTAGCCCATTTATCGAAGCAGGCCTTGATGGAAGGAACTATTGATCTTCTAAGGTTGGTCTTAGCCCACGACCAGAAAGCCCAAGAAGATGAGACTCTAAAAGATTTTATTGATCTTATAGAAGTGGATAACTTCAAAGATTGATAAAAATCTGGAGGATGGAGATTTGGACAACCAGAAACGTCCAACACGTAGTACGCTGATGTGTATCCAACAAGTGGAAGCAATACGTGGACAACCAAGATTTTGCCGACGAAATTTAACGAAGCATATTTAAAGAAAATCTTGAATGTTGTGTCGTACTGTCTCATGTAACATGTGTAAATTGTAATAATTTACTTTTGTTTAAAACATGGGAGACATGTGAACCCCATGTCATTTTCTTTAAGATAAATGTTAGTTTTTCATTAGAATATAGTCAAATCACGTCTTTTGTGATTTACATGTTGTTTTGTATATTTTGTTTTACTTACGGATTCAAGTTTTTTGAAATCCGAACTTCTCTATATAAAGAGAAGTGGTGTATATTTGTAATCAGAGAAAACATTAATAAGATTAACAGAAATTATCAAGTGATAAATTAACCGATACTGAATTGCTATTCCATCACTAGAAGCCATCAAGTCTTTTAGTCTGGAAGTATGAATTCGAAGAACCATAATCCGTTTGAGGTTTGGATCTTGGAGACTAATCATATATCCTGGTTTAACAGTCTCGTAGGCATCTCCCAAAGCTAGATTAAAGCTAGATTAGCGTGAAACATAAATTCAGTTTTAAAAGATTAATTCATACCTGAGTATCAATCGTCTTGAATAAACCTTTTCTTTGCTTTGATGAGGCAATAAAAGTAAAACAAGAGATTGAGAGACTGAATTTTTCACAAACTGAAAATATTATTAATGTTTTCTTTGATTACAAATATACAACGCTTCTCTTTATATAGAGAAGTTCGGATTTCAAAAGACTTAAATGCGTAAGCAAAACAAAATATACAAAACAACATGTCAATCACAAAAGAGATGTGATTTGACTATATTCTAATGAAAAAAGTTAATTGGAGAGAAAAACACATAAATTCAGTTTTAAAAGATTAATTCATACATGGGTATCAATCGTCTTGAATAAACCTTTTCTTTGCTTCGAGTAGGCAATAAAAGTAAAACAAGAGATTGAGAGACTGAATTTTTCACAAACCGAAAATATTATTAATGTTTTCTCCGATTACAAATATACAACACTTCTCTTTATATAGAGAAGTTTGGATTTCAAAAAACTTGAATCCATAAGTAAAACAAAATATACAAAACAACATGTCAATCACAAAAGACATGTGATTTGACTATATTCTAATGAAAAACTAACATTTATCTTAAAGAAAATGACATGGGATCCACATGTCTCCCATGTTTTAAACAAAAGTAAATTATTACAATTTACACATGTTACATGAGACAATACGACACAACATTCAAGATTTTCTTTAAATATGCTTCGTTAAATTTCGTCGACAAAATCTTGGCTATTGGCCGTTGACGGCCAGATCTTTGGCCGTAACCAGACGTCAACGACAGTCAACATATGGTCGTCGTTGACAATCAATGATGGCCGTATCTTTGGCTGTCGTTGACGAGCAAATGCGGCCAGATCTGGTCGTCAATGGCCAGATCTAGCCGTGGATTTAG